GATACAAAACTTAGACAATATTAGTTCAGGTGCAGGGGTGGGGGACGCGGGAACGAGACATCAGCTTGCCCAAATCATCCTACCTGCTATGCTAGCCCAGCTGGGCAGAGGTGCGTTCACTAAGGACTTCATCAGGGAGGAAAAAAAAGAAAACAGACTAAAGGTTAACAGACCTATGAGCAAATCAGAGCGCCAGCAACCTGAATACGACGTGTGAAGGAAAAGTGCTGGGGAAACTCCAAAGCCCAAGAAGCAGCCTGGACACAGAAGGGTTTAGAGCGCTGGAGTCCCTGACTGGGAGCACCTGCTGGTCTTTCAAACCGCCTACCGCGGGGCCTGACGGCAGCAAGCACATGGCCAATGCCAAGGGAGCGAGGTTTGCACCAGGACCTCGAAGGAGGCCGACAAGGAAGGGGATCCCAGATGTCAAGGTCACAACAGAAAGAGCGAACTAGAGAGCTGCTCACGGCGTATCTCTGCATCGTGACGTAAAGCACTTCCCAAGAACTGCACTTCAGACCTACCATTCGAGTCGTGTTTTTCCTAGCTCAAACCCTCCCAGCCACCTAACCCGGTACCAATACACGATGCACAAAAACAAGTAACGGTCAAGAGGGTAAGGAACATGGCTGAAAGCACGAGGGAGCCGGCTGGCACAGCAGGGACGTCCTGGAGAGTGGACATTAGTCCCCTGGAAGCCTCGGGCCGGCAGCCTGAGCCCTCCCCACCCCGGAAGCCAGAGGCCAGCCTCGAACACAGCCCCGCCACACAGGGCCCGACACGAGTGCTCACTTACTTTGGAATTCCGTAAGGTGCTGGGCGTGCTCTCTGGAATGGCTGGGTTTCTGGAGACTCGGGCAGCGAAGGGCTCATACATGTGGTACAGAGACCGGATCACGCACGCCCGGAGGCAGCGCAGCCTCTCCATGGACTCGGGTCGCAGGCGCAGAGGCAGGGAGGCGTCCAGCGTGTAGTGCCTGAAACACGACACATTACTCCCACCACCGTGTGACCCGCGTCTCCTGCTCCAGGTCAGTCTCCTACGACTCCTCGTCTCTGCACGATGTCACCGACCAGTGAGCAGCTTGTCCCCAGGGCTCACTCACACGCAAATCACCAGCTCCTCCACTTCTCGGCTACTTTTGCTTCTTTGTTACGTGAAACCCAGTTCACGTACACCTTACAATCCTGTACTTCTCCATCCTTTTTAAAATTTGTGGTCCTCAGCATTTCACTCTAAAGAAGGGCAAGTCTTCGCCTTGACAGACAACATACTTCAGGCCATGCCCTGGGGAGGGGCCACCAGGTTCTCCTGGCACACGTCTCGTCTCGGCAAGGCCTCTGCTCCCTTCCCGCCACGTTACCACTGACCGTTTGCACCTTCACTACATTTCTGCAGCCCTCTCCCCAACCAGTACAACTGCGTGCATGGCTGCATACAGGGCAGCGTGCATATGAAAGCCACGCCGTACTTCAAGATGACTGGCAAACCTAAGAAACTAATCCAGTTGGAAAGGCCAAGAGCCATGCAGCTGCAGCTTTTGAAAACTGTAGCTGGGATAACCCCCTGAGGAAAAGTCAAAGACAATTCTTCTGAAACCTGAAGCAAGACTTTCTGCTGCAAACGGACACTGGATGCGGGGAGTGGACAACCACAGGGATGACAGTTACCTGGATGAGCTAATACTATCAGTTTTAAGTTAGAAAGGGCTCAAGCAGTCCGGAGCCAGGCTCACACCTGGCATGGAGTAGAGAAAGTGCAAAGGTCTCCATCCTGGGAGCAGGTCCACACCACAAACAGCATGAAATCAGCTACACAGACAACAGTGAGCTCCCTGTGGCCGCACCTTCGGTACAACCTGGTCCAAAAGGCAGCAGTGCAAGTGACAGTCCAGGCATTCTTACAAATCAGGGAGAAATTCACAATGTCCTCAGGACGGATATAGGAGGCCAGCAGCAGCCAAATATCCATGGGGTACTCTTCTCCTCCAGCCCCGTCCAGGTCTTCTGAAACAGAAAAAGGAGCTACAATGTCTGACCTATTACACACAGATCTAAAGACCCCCAGTCACAGCAGGTCTCCCAGACTTCACAGCTGAGAGGAAGGTTTTAAACAGGCCCAAGGCAGCCTCTGAGACTCATCACTCCCCGCTTACTCCAGCTGCCGGGCACTTCTGCTTCCTGTTGTCCAAGTGAGTGGGGTTTTTGTTGTTTTGTGTGCTTTAAGTTTAATTGTTGTTCAAGTACAGTTTTCTGTCTTTTATTCCCATCCCAGCCCATCTGCCCCAGCCCTCCCCACCTCCCTCCCATTTCTACCCCCCCTAGTTTTTGTCCATGTGTCCTTTATACTTGTTCCTATAATGGGTCTTGTTTTTTAAAGCCTTGATTTAACAATTACTTATATACTACTTTGAAGTTTACAAAGTGCCTTTGCATACATTAAACCATTCCATTCTAGTAATTTCTCAACAGAAGTAGGGAAAATATCACTGTGCCCATTTCACTAACAAGGAAGCACACCCTCGCCACCCAGGCTCTCTGGCCCCAGAGTCTGGCTTTGCCCTTAATCTTCCTCGCTGTCCCCACCCCCCAAACATGTCCTTCAGTTCCGTCACTGAAAAAAACAAAGCCAGTTTTAACATGCTATGAGGAAAACCTGAAAGTGCAAACTGAATTAAAAACCAGGTAAGTTACAGCGTTCTCTTCATTACTCAATAGCCACCTGCAAGTATGTTTCTTTTCTTCTAGTTCTTCCTGGTTTCACGGCCAGTCTGACCTACGACCTTAGCCACATGCATTCAGTATTGGAACATACTGTCTTACTGCATCCCACCTCCTCCGTCAGACCTCGTTAATGTTCATTCTGACTCTGAAGCTCACTGTGCATTGCAGGTGCGAGTACAAACTCACACGCCACACACAGACACCTGAACCTGGGCTGACCCTATCTCTAACCTTTAACTCAGACCTCATCATATACCTGGGCAAAAACCGGCTTTCTCCCTTCTCTTTCCTGGTCCCCTGCACCCCCTGCTCAAAGCTGTCTCTGCTTTCCCGCCAACTACTCCCTGCGGCTCTGTGCCTCAGGCAGGTTCTTGTGCTGGGCTCTCCACATCAGAGACCAACGGCTCTGAAACACCCTCTTCCTGGGTGCTGTCCTGTCTCGTAATCGTTTAGGGCTCAGTCTACCATGTGTGGGCCCCGGCTTACTCCACGTGAAATCTCTCTCCGAAAGAGAAGGCAAGCAACTGTCAGAATTCCCTCTGCTGAGACCACCCAGCAGAACTTTTACAAAGCTGAGGGCTATCAAAAATTTTGTCTTTAGGGTCCAAATTCAGTAATTACTGAAGACCTACATTTTAAGTACAACTATTAAGAAATTTCACAACGTAGGAAAAGAAATTAGCAAAGAAAAGCTTCGTAGTATGTTCAACCCTATCCCACTGCTGAGATCCAAACTCGGATTCTCCACTCCTCCCCTCTGGGGCTATGGAAAAAGTGGCAGCTTCGAGTTGTCACCACACACAGGACTAGTCAACCAGCAGAGAGCAAGCCCTGCACCTCTGTGCCTCTTGGATTTCTTTTTTCTGGAGACGGTCCTCTCCTGGACGCTCTCCTCTGGGGTGTCCACCTCGTCACTGCTGTCGGTGATGTCACAGGGCTCACCAGCCCCAGAAAGAGCTTCCACCGCAGGAACCTGAGAGGCTTCCAAGCCACAAAGAGATTTTACTAGAAGAAAATAAGAGAAGGGTGAGAAGGCAGAGTCCCATCCAGAAATTCAAAGGGCACAGGCGGGATACCAACATCCATGTGGGGGGAGGCGGGGGCGGGAAGCAGCAGCAGCAGCAGCAAAAAGCAGCACGGGAGTCTGCTGGAGAAAGCTGAGAAAAGCTTTAGGTTTCTCTAAAAAGAGAGAAAACCAAGCATTTTCAATACAAAAAATTGGAAAGTCATGGGCAAACCAACTCCTAAAAAATGCCAACCTCAGACCTGAAGAAAAAGGGAACACATTATTCCCACACTATAAACGCCGCGAAAGGAGGGTGCTGCTGTCATTTGCATAAGTTCTCAGGACCAGGGTTTGAGAGGCGTTGAATCCAACTTAACAATGTTTCTGGGTTGGAGATAATGGGTGTCCTAAAAACACAAGTCTCAGGGATACGTGAGTGAAAAGCTTGAAAGTAAGAGAAGGATGGGAGAAGAAGAATACTTCAAGGCTCTTACACGAAAAGCAAGAGGCAGAGCACGGGGAGAAGACGCGTGAACTGCAGGGAAAGACTAAAAGCCAAGGAGCAAGTGGTGGGCACCACAGCGCACGCGAAGGCAGGCATTTCTGCTGCACAAAATGCTGGCGCTCCAGGCTACCCCGCACCCTCCCCGGAACCCACTGTGCGAGCGCGGAGAGGGCAAACCCGTTCACGGACGGTGCCCGAAAAACTTCAGAACTACACGGACAGGGCCCCAGGCTCAGCCTCCGCGGCCGTGTCCAGGCTCGTCGGGAGCCTACCTTCCTGCTGAATGGCGTTGGCGACGGCTTTCTTGACCCGCCCAGACCTCACGACGGCAGGGTCCGAGTTGGCATAGTCCGCCACGGTCACTGAAACGAGCGGCAACCCTCAGAGAAGCGGCCTTCTCCCCGCGGCACCCCGCCAGTCCCCCCCAGCCGCCCAGCGCCCCGGCCGCGCCAACCTCGACCAGAGCAGGCGTCGTGGGCCCGGAACTTGAGTCGCTTCCCTCGCTTGGGCATGGCGGCCGTGTCGGGGCGAGGCCGGCCTAGTGGGCCGGGACCCCGGGCCATGTCTCGGGCTCCAAGGCCGGCTCCAGGAGCCGCGGGTCAGCTCCGTCCGGCTCCGTGGCCATCCCGCCCCGCAGCCCGCACCTCTCGCGATGACTCAGGCCGAACCCGCGTCGCGTTGGCGACTACCTTCCTCTTCGGCCGCCAATCACTGCCAGGCGTAGGGACACGTCATCATCGAGCGCCCGGCGCCCTCCAGCGACTGGATTGTGCGAGGGTAGATGGTGTTGGGGCGACCCCGCAGGTCGTTCCGCCCTGTGAGGGGTTTGCTGTCTCGGGCCCGGAATCCACGCCGCGTGGGTCAGAACGGAGTGCCCGCAGGGTCCCGTCTTCACAGCCCTGCTAGGCTCCTGTGGCTTCGTCCAGAGTCCATCCATCTCACTTGGTTTTCCTTAGCAGCTAAATGTGTGTCTCGTCCAGAGCAGTCCAAGAATGCAGGGAGGCAGGTGGGCGTTGGGAAGGCAGACTGGTGACCAGATGAAGAGGAGGAAGGGTTTGAGGGAAAAGCGTGTCTGGGATGAGTGGGAACTGGAAGTTGTCCAAGGGAACTGATAACGGTAACTTTGCCGAGATAAGACTTACCTGTTCTCAGATTACCACACTCGGTAGCTCTGTCGTCATTGACCCAGTGTTTTATACTGAACAGGTATCGTATTTATATTTGGGAAGATACCAATAAAGCTTTTCTTTACGGTTTTGTTTATTTATTTATTTATTCTTAGAGGGGAAGGGAGGGAGAAAGAGAGGGAGAGAAACATCAGTGTGAGGTTGCCTCTCACACGCCCCCTACTGGGGACCTGACCTGCAACCCAGGCCTGTGCCCCGACTGGGAATCTTACCGGCGATCCTTTGGTTTGCAGCCTGCGCTCCATCCACTGAGCCACGCCAGCCAGGCCACCAATGAAACTTTTTTATTTGGAGACAAATGTGGCCCAGTCACAGCCCACTCTGTGGGATCTAGGTCAGAAACCCAGGCACTGCCACCAGGACCCCCTCACCACTCCTGGGGACCCTCAGCAAGGAGGTGGTGCTTGCTGTGAGGGGGGCGTGGTGCGGAGAACAATGGTTGTCAGGGAGGTGTCATCTGCGCCAGGGCCAGCTGCCTCTCGCCTCAGAGGATGCACACTCTGGCCCCGTCTCGGCACTGTGCCCCGCCACCCCAGTTTTCTTCTTGACTTTGGGGACAGTCCTGAACACTCAGAATGTGTGGAACTCAGTTCCTGTGTACCCAGAAGAGAACAACCTCAGGTGGAACTACAGCTCCAGTCATGGTGAGGACTTTCACTGTCATGGTGAGGACCTTTATATATTTATAAATGTATTTCGTTTCCTTGCTGCCTCCTCAGAAGCCCTGAGGGGACGGAGTGTCACATCAGAAAGGGAGAAGGTTCTCCTGTATCTGACTTGATCCCATTCATAGATCCTTCATCAGTGCCTGTGTTGGTTTCTCTGGAGGACACCGATAGGGTATACAGCAAACAGAGACACATTGTGAGGGATTGGTGCACCAAATTATGGAGGATGAGAAACCCCATGGTTTTCTGTCTGTAAGCTGGAGGCCCAGGAAAGCTGCTGGTGCAGTGTCCAGTCCAAAACTGAAGACCTGAGAACCAGGGGAGCCCGTGTCTGACAGCAGAAGGAAACGGGTGTTGCAGCTGAAGCAGAGCGCAGTCAGCACACCCATCGTGGGACTCCTGGGGGGAAAGGAGAGAGAGGAAGAGGCAGAGAGAATGCTTCAAGAAATAATGGATGAAATCTTCCCAAATTTGATGAATATAAACTTCCAAGAAGCTCAATGAACTCCAAGTAAAACGAACTCAGGAAGACCCACACTACAACACGTTATCACCAAACTTTCGAAAGACAGAATCTTGAAAGCAGGGAGAGAGAGGAGTCCTCACATACAAGGGATCCCCAGTGAGATCACCAACAGAAAATAAGTTGAAAACATATGCTACCAGATCTTCCCACAGGTATTTATAGTAGCTTCATTCATAATTGCCAAAACTGGGAAGAAACCAAGATGTCTATCAGCAGAACACATTAATGAGCTGTGGTGCATTCATATAGTGGAATATTATTCAGCACTAAAAAGAAATAACTTATCAAGCCACGAGAAGACACGGTGGTACCTTACATGCACATTACTAAGTAAAAGAAGCCAATATGAAAAAGCCATGTACTGTGCACTTCCAACTATATGACTTTGTGGGAAAGACAAAACTATAGAGATGGTAAAAAGGATCAGGGGTTGGGTGGGACAATGAATAGGCAGAGCCCAGAGGATATTTAGGGCAGTGAAAATCTATGTGTTATAATGGCATGTCATGTCCAAACTCCTAGAACGTGCGCCGTCAAGAGTGAAGCCTAGCCCTCACTGGTGAGACGCAGTTGGTTAGGTGTTGTCCTGCAAAGCAGAAAGTTGCCGGTCTGACCCCTGATCGGGGCCCCTGCCTGCGTTGCAGGTTCAGTCCCTGGTCAGGGCGTGTGCAAGAAGCAACAGATCAGTGTTTCTCTCACGTCAATGTCTTTTTGCCCTCTCTTCCTCCTCCCCTTCCCCTCTTTCTAAAAATACATAAAGTCTTTTTTAAAAAACTGTTCAATGAAAACTCTTCTCAACAGCTATGTGGGAGCACAGTTGTCTGAGTGCGCACCTGGGGCCACAGACCGAGCAGCAGCTGTGTGAGTTCCCAGCCGGCACCATGAAAGAGTCCCTGTGGGTGCTTGCTGTCACGGTGGCGGCGGTGCTCTCAGTCTTCCTCTTTGTCACAGAAAACCCCTTCGACCCCACGAGTTTCCTCTCCGTGGTGAGTGCCAGAGGCTGGGGGTGGGCAAAGTTGAAATCCCTGGACAGAAAAAAGGGAGGTGTCAGCTAAGTGTCCATTTGTGTGAAGTTGTCACTGACGGCCCTGGCTAGGCAGCTCGGCCAGAGCATCTTTCCGGTACACAGGGTTGTGGGTTTGACCCGGGTCAGGGCACATGCAAGAAGCAACCAATCAATGCGTCAGTGAATGGAACTACAAGTCTCTCTCCTCTCCCCACCCCCTCTTCCTCTCCCTCCCTCCCTCTGTTCCTCTCTCTCCCTAAAAAAATCAGTAAGTTTAAAAAATTGTTACTAACATTGTAGACAGTCAATGAAGAAAGATAATAAGGCCTGAGGACTCAATGTATTTTTCTTCTATGGGGCAATAAGGGCTGTGGCACTCTGGAAGAGAGCATTCAGGGCTGTGAAGAAATGACACATTTCCTGTGGTTTTCAAGTTACCCATTTTATCCCCATTTTACACCATAGGATCCTGAACCTCAGCAAAGTTGTCATTTCTCCAAGCCGAGAAAAATTGTAGGTGGTTGAGAAAATTCCACCAGGGCCCAGAAAAGGCAAAGAAAGAAAAGAAGAGTGGTGAATGAATGTGGAGGGTGGAGTGCCACCAACGGGAACTGAGAAGCATCCCCTTGCTCCTCTCTCCTGTTTGCCCTTCCTGGGTTAAGTGACTCATCAGACCAGGCGGAGATGACTGGTGGGGTGGGGAATGGCCAGGCCTGATAGCACCTCATTCCCTACCTGCAACCCTAGAGAGCTGAAAAAGCCCCACTCCCTTCACCCCCAAGCCATAACCTATATGAGAACCCCCAGGGCAGGACTTTTCCAGAAGGTGAGGAAGTAACTAAATTGCGCCCTGAGCAACCTGCCGTGGATCCCGGAGATGTTTTATTGTGTGGTGCAAAGGGGAACACACCCAGCCCTTATTCCCAAGGAGCAGGACTCAGAGCTGAAACCTACTCTTTCCTCAGGAGGAAAAGAAGCTGGTAGCTTGGCAGAGAGCCCGGATGCAGCTCGACCCTGGTAGAACACACCACCTGGAAACCTTCAAAGGCATGCAGAAAAACTCAGAACCACTCAGAAATGTGAACTCCCGAATCTTGATTGGAGCCCCTCCCGGCAAAAAGAGTGAGTGTGCACAAGGGTCTGACCCTCGAAGGGCAGGTCAGGCGGGCGGGGGCAGGGACTGTGACAGCATCTGTCACACACTTGCCAGCGCTCCCCAGTGGCTTCCAGGGCCCCAGACTCTCCTGGTTTTCCTCCCACCTCACAGGTAGATTCTCCGTGTCTTTGCTAGTTTTATCTTCTCTCTCCAACACCTGAGTGCCAATGCACCCCAGAGCTCTGTCCTTGTCTGGACTGCCTGGGGACCTCACCCAGTGTCACAGCTTTCAGAGCCAACTGTCCACTGGCTAGTCTCAGAACCACACTCCAGCAGGATCTGTCTGTGGTCCTCACCACCACCCCCCGCCCCCGCAGCGTCCTCTTCCGGGTGGGGACTGTGCTGGCATCTGTTGCTGAGGTCTACGTCTAGATGATGCTCGGCCTGTGACCTGCCGCTCAGTCAGGACACTGGCTCTCCCTGCTCAGCAAGCTTCCCCTTGGCACTGCATACCCTCCCGAGGTCCGGCTCTGCCACACATTCCATCCCCATAGGTTGCGATGGTATTTGATGAGAAAAGGTAAACCTTAAGACAGAAGAAACTGTCCTGGTTGAAATAGTTTAGGACTTCAAAGGACAGGACTAAGCTATTGTGTCGATAAAATATAGTTAAGTTGAAGGGGTCTTAAGTGTGTTGGCCTTAACAATACAAGAACTCTGTCATGGCCAGGCAGCTCAGGTGGTTAGGGTGTCGTCCCAATACGTCAAGGCTGCGGGTTCAATCCCTGGTCAGGGCACATTACAGGAATCAACTAACAATGCATAAATAAGTAGTACAACACATTGATGTGTCTCTCAAATCAGTAAAAAAAAAAACCAAACAATAATAACATAAGGACTCTGAATAAGGAAAAACAGTTCTTCTCTCAGTTCAAAGGCATGTTTTAAAATGAGCACTAATCCCGCCTTGCATAACCCTCATGGCTACAATGTTGCACTGTGCAAAGCTAGCTAAATGCATTTTTAATGCAGGGCATTGCAAAGTGTCTGTGTGAAGTCAGGATGTGTTTTATCTTTTAAAAAAAGGTTTTAGGTCTGTCTGCTGGCCTAGAAATGACCCACCAGTGATGAGTGCTTGTTAAATAAATACTGTTTTCCATTAAAAAGAACCAGGTTCCTTGGAAAAAAGGCAGACTTGGGGTCCAAGGCAGGAAATGTCATAGTAGAGTGAGGAAGCTTTTGAAAATAACTAGTCATTTCAAAAACGCTGAGGATCTAACTTCAAAAGGCTGTTTGCCAAACATAGAACAATTTGAGCAGCAACAGGATGAACTCTCAGTGGTCTGAAACTTGAAATCCATGAGTTTATAGATACCTCTCAGTCCCAACGTCACCTTCAGGGGGCCAGCGCTGGGCTTTATCCCCCAGGCAGATGCCACACCTGATGTGCCCCCGCTGCTGCCTCAAGCCCGTGCCTCCACCGTGGGGCTCCCTCCAGCCCCAGGACTCACCCGTGGGCTCTGCCGGGCAGGCCTTCCACTTCACTCAGACAGCGACCCTGAGCACGTCCACCTGCAGTGGGCGTGGCCACAGCCAGCCCCGTGGTGGTCACTGGTCCAGTGGCTGTGGAAGCGGCCCTTTGACGGACTGTCCAGGCGGCCATCCCAGAGCCTGCTCCTTTCTTTCGGTGGCTCGCACTTAGACTTCCTCTGAGGCTTTGGTGAGAAGACGCACCACAGGTTGTGCGTGGTGTCCTGTGCCTGCTGAGCTATGAGTTCTTCTACTCGGACTTCTCCCGTGCACTTTCGCTGCCTTCCAGGAATTCTGCAGATGTTTTGGTTCTCTAATGGCATCCTTTCTGGTTTTTCAGTGGGATTTGGGAGGGAAGAGACATCAATGCAATTTTTTTTTAGCTCATCATCTTTATTTGTTTCTCCCACAATAGTTTCTGAAAGGTAGGGATCTTTTTGAAAACAACTTGTGACCGAGCAGATACTAACTCCTAACATAGTCCGTACTTAGGCCTGGGGGGGAGAAAGTGCAAGATAACCAGAGGAGCTCATTAAGGTGGCACAGAAAGATCGGAGAGGATCACAGCCTCACCCACAGCAGCTGTTCTTCTCGCTTCCGTGAGTGGACAAACGCCCTCTTCCCTCCCACCCCTAGAACTGCTGGCCATAGGCATCTCTGCAGCGCCCCCTCCCCAGGGGAGCAGCCTCGTGGGCACCCTGCGGTCCCTCTTCTCTGCCTCCTCCTCGTCGGAGCGGAAACACTTCACTGTCCTGCTGCACGCGGCGGGCCCCGACCCCAAGGGCTCCGGGTGGCCCACTCGGATGACCCGCAACCTCTCGGCCCTGTTTAAACCCCACGTCCAGGCCAGAGAACTTGTGGTGATCACCACTCCACTTGCAAGCAGCCTGCCCTCGAAGGACCTGAAGGACACCGTTGGTGACCCTCCTGCCCACGTGGCCCTCCGCTCCGGGCAGAACAGGGGCTACGCCTCCCTCATGAACTCCGCCACCCAGCTCGCTGACTACTTCCTGATGGTCGAAGATGACGTGCGCTGTGCCCCTGGATTTGTGACCCAGATAGCCACCGCGGTGTCTGCCTGGGCGCACCGGCCGTGGGCGACTCTGGAGTTCTCCCGGCTGGGCCTCACCGGGAAGCTCTTCCGCACGGGAGACCTGCCCCGAGTCGCCCGCTTCCTCCTCCTCTTCCACCGGGAGATGCCCTGTGCCCGGCTCCTTGCCCACTTGTGGGACCTCGAGCGGAGCACGCCGGTCCAGTTCCTGCCCCCCCTCTTCCAGCGCTCGGGCGGCTCCTCCCACTTTGAGGAGGAGGACATCGGCTCGCCCAGCAACCCAGCGGCCTCCGTCCACACCAGCCTGGAGGCCGCCAACAACTCTGTCCCCTCAAGCGCCTACAGCCTGGACGAGAGCTGCTTCTGTGCCAGGTCGGCGGAGGCTGGCAGCCACCTGACTGTGGTTCTGGACACACCCGCCCAGGTGTCCCGAGTGCAGGTGCAGACAGGCTCTGGCCCGAGAGGGGAGAACCAGCTGAAAGAGGGGCACGTGGAACTGGGCTATGACTCCAGCAACAGGGTCAGTGACTGTGACGACTACGTCCTGCTGGGGCCCCTGGTGGACGGCCGCCTGGACAGGCGGGTGCTGTCGCACAGGGCCGGGAGGAAGGTGAAGTGTGTGCGTGTGCTTGTGACAGCCCGCACACCCTCCGCCGTCGTGCTCAGGCACATCCGCCTGTGGGCTGGGTGAAGGGTGCGTCTCAGCTGGAGGGGCCACCGGGAGTTCTGGGGCGGGTCAGGTTGGAGGTCAGAGTCTGCAGAGCTCAAAACCCAAAACATGACCGTGTCGAAACCCGTGGGGTGCCTTTTGGGACCCTTCCGGGACTGCTGGTCCGGAAGACGTGGCACATTGAAAGGAGAAAGTGACGAGCTCTGGGCCCCAGAGACACAGGTGGACAAGGTGGGCTCACGAAACCCTTCCTGGGTCCCTCTGCCGAAGGCCCACCGTTCAGAATCCTCGCACGGGGCAGGAGCAGTGGGTGGGGCTGGCCAGCACTCATGCCCTGAGACGAGAGAAGACGGGGGGGGGGGGTCTGTTTTCCCACCAGCACCAAACAGACTCCCCGAACGTCCAGTGTGGCGGCGGCGGCAGGAGACAGGCCTGTGTCCCCGGAGTCTGCTCTACACCAAAGGCAGCCGTCCCGTGACACTGACCCCTTCACGTTGGGTGGGCAGAGTGCTCTGGCCCGTCACCACCCAGCATGCCAGGTGCTCCTTCCTGAATAGCCTCAGAATCACCGAAAATCGCTTGCTCTGCTCTGGTAGCTTCTGTGTCCAGCAGTCTCATCTCTGGGACTATAAGGCAACATGGATGTTTCTGATGGGAAAAACTTCGGATACTTTACTTTTATTTTTAGCTCCGTGTGGCTGTGAGATTCCCAGAAAACGTCTGAGCCCTGAGCTCAGCTAATGTGCAGGGTCTGGTTTTCGCCAGCTGGAGAATTGCGACCCGTGGTGGCAGGGAGGGAAGCAAGCAAAGGAGAGCTTTGAGACGGACATCTGGGAAGAGCGCCAGTCCGAAGCCAGGCGCTGCGTCCACACCAGCTGTCGTCAGAGCGGACACAGGCTGGAGCGTCTGGAAACAGGGTGGCGGGAGAGGGATGAGGGGGGTGGGGATACCCAGTAAGGGTGGCAGGGAGCAGCTCTGGGCACCCCAGGCTGGAGGCCACCCGGTGAGTCACAGCCCTGGCCTGGTCCCTGAACTGGAGCCAGTTTTCACGTCCACACGCGCCGATGGGAGAGGCGGGCAGGTCCCCGGAAGGAGAGACCCTGGGACACACGGGCCCTGTGAGATCTCCAGACGCCCTCCCCAGAGGCACCTGCACCTGCACAACAGGGAGAGGGAGACGCCCGGACACGCGGGGAGTTTGGACTCCATTTAGGGACGGAAGCTTAGGCCACGCCACCAGGGAAGCCACCCAGCTGTCTGCTGGGACAGCTGAGGTTTACAAGGGTGGGCCTATTCCAAGGCCACCGGGACTGTCCCCCCCCCCCCCCGGCCTGTCTGAGGCTGCGCTGATGTGTCTGGTGCCGTCTGCACAGCCCCTCCTTCCAACGCTCCCATGGTTCAAACCCGCAGGTCAGCCTCAGAGGCTGTGTTGCACCACCCACCCGCTCCCACAGTTCCCGGCGCACGGGTCTTATCTTGGTGTGGGATTCAGAGTGGACTCAGCCGGGCCAGCTGCCGCACTTCCCACAAACCAGAAGGCACGCCCTCCTGCAGTGGGTGGCTCCCCGCAGTGACGAGCCTGGGCCAAGGCTTCCAGTGCTGGGTTCAGTTCCCACCAAGCCCCTGGGCGAGACGCAGCCCCACAGGCACAGAGGTGCGGCTCACGGGTGGGGTGGGTTTCCTTTTTAGTTTTTTAAAATTGATCTGAGAGGAAGGAGGGAAGCAGCGACCTGTTGTTCCACCAGATTCATTCGTTGGTTGCCTCTTGTACCAGGTGTTGACCCCACAACCTTGGTGTATCAGGACCGTATTGTAACCAACTGAGCCACCCAAGCAAGGCTGGGGTAGATTCCTGATAAAAAGCGGGGCCGCTCCACCAACTCTATTTTAAACAAAGTAAGAAGCAGGTCCCAGTGGTTTAGAGAGGGTTAGGCTCCATTTCCCCAGGGGCGGCCCCCTGCCCTTCCGCCTGGTGCTGCTGGGACCCCGCCCTGCTGCAGGTGTTCCAACGGCACAGGCGAAGAGGGAGCTGAACGGCAGGCTCCGGCCCACGTGGGGCACAGTGCAGCTCCCCAAAAATGAGAACTGTGGATTTACAGGACAGATCAGGCGTTTGCTGTCAAGGCTGCCTAGCCACAAGGGCCCCGGCGGCCAGGGGCCGGGGCCCAGGCCAGGCCTCACCCCAGCAGGAGGGTGGTGAGCTTAGCTTCGCTGAGATGGCCACTCCTCCCGGCCCAGCGGCGGCAACGCTTCCAAGGATGCGACGGCAGGCCGGTCAGAAGCTGGGTCTGCCTCCAATCCAAGGGCTCGTCTGGGAGGGAAGCCAGGGAGTCAAGACTGGGGTGAGGTGGGAAGAGGGTGACTCTGGTGTAAAAGACGATAATCATACAAAACACGCTCTCTAACCAAAAATGAATGAAAGTAAAAAAACTTTATATCTAGAAAACCCAAAACCTTTGGAAATTAAGCAGCATTTCTACATAGCTCATAGGTCAAAGAAGAAGTCACAGTGGAAATTAGAAATTATTGTGAACTTTCTATACTTACTTACCCTGTAATTGGACATCCTGTAAACGTGGACGGCTCCCTTCAAGTAAGGGGAGGGACCCTTCAGTATCGCCCCTCACCAATTTGATTCAGACCGACAGTTAGCCGTCGGCGTCTGGGCCGGAGGCAAGACTGGAAAGCGGGCCTTCCCACACCTGTTCCCACTGTCCCCAAGACAGGTGCCTGTGCGAGACGGGGCGCTGAGCGGCCCCTTCCAGGGTGAACAATGGTTGTCAGGCAGGGTCTCCCGGGAGGCGACTCCACCTCGGAGGAGCCCCTCTGGGCCCCACCCTACAACCCTGGAGTTCTTCTCATGGATCTCAGAGAGATCCTGCTCTCTGAGGATTTATGAAGCCACGTTTTCTGTCAGGAAGTCTCCGGTGGCTGCAGATCCACAGACAGAGTGAAGACGGCCACAGCACAGAAATTCCGGGTCACTTCCAGGTGCCCGCCACTCCCCCCAGGCGGGGGTCGCGGAGACAAGCCTTTCCCCCGGCCCTCTGCCTTGGTCCCAGTCTCCCACCTGTCCGACAGAATGCTGGGGCTGGGGGGTGGCCAGGCCCAGTGGCGGCTGCAGCTCGAGTCGCGTTCAGGGAAGGGTTCCTCCCCGGTGGGGCCTCTGCTCCGAGAGCGGACAAATGAGAAGCTGCTCCAGTTCCCCCTGGAAACCCTGCCAGGAGGCAAAGAAGGCAGAGGCTGAAGAGACCCAAGCTCCACAGCCTTGTCTCTCCTTAGATGGTTACAGGTGGCGCGGGGCGGGGCGGGGGCGGGCCGTCACTGTGGGCAGGAGAGGCTAGGAAAGTGAAGTGCCAGAGGTGTCCAGGAGGAAGGGGCGGGGAAGGGCAGGGAGGCCTCTGGGCAACTGGACGATCTTCCCGGCTTCCCGAGCAGGAGGCTCTCGGGACCCCGGCCCCTTCGTGCTCCCTTGCTGCTGCGCGGCCCAGCCTGGCACCATGCACCCCTGCCTGTGGAAATGCGCCCTCGTGGCTGTGTCCTTCCTCTCCCTGAGCTTCTTCCTCCAGGACAATGAGGGAGAGCCCCTGGAGCATGGCGTGTTGCTGGTAAGTGCCTCGTGTTGAGGCTGGGCCACTCACCAACGCTTCAGCCGGGAGGAAAGGACCAGTGTCACCCACAGCAGAGGGGCCCTTGAGGGTTCAGGAAAGCATCCAAAAAACAACAGATACTGGTTTGGAAATACAGATATTGGTTGGAGCATCATCCCGTAACTGAAAGGCTGCGAGTTCAATTCCCAGTCAGGGCAATTTTGCCCCCTGGTCCAGGCACCTAAGGGAGGCAACCAATCGATGCTTCTCTTTTGCATTGAAGTTTCCGTCTCTCCCTTCCTCTGTCTCTAAATGGAATGAAAAAGTACCCTCAAGTGAAGATTAAAAAATCTTTTTAAAGATGAATATTATTAAATCCACCTTCACTATGGACAGGATTTGAGCGGGGAAGGGAGGAGGAGGGCGTTTTAAGTGTGGAAAAAGCCTTGCACAGACCATCTCCACTGCCATGCTGAGGGCAGACCCAGCATGAGAGAAGGCTGCCTGGGGCCCACTTCCCGTCACCACCTCCCCAGAGAGGCAGTGTTCCTTCCCTTCTCCCGTTGGGGACAGCGGGGATCGGGATGGTGGGGACTCCTCCCACGTGCACAAGTCTGCAGCGGAGAAGATCAGGCTCAGGCTCTGAGGCCCACGTCCTCCCCACACGGTCCAGCCAGCTAGAGCAGAGTCTGAGGGGTGTGAGGAGGGGCATGGCCAGAACTGAGCAGAGGAAAGGGCTTCAGAATCGAGGCACCAGGTGTGACTTGCGTAAGGACAAGGCAGACTCGGTCTTCAGCAGCTGCCACAGACCCAGCACAGCCCAAGCAGAGTCAGATGCGCTGCCAGCTTGTGGTGGTGAAGTTAGACGTGTGGCAAGGTGGGGCAGGCAGGTTCTTGCTCTGCAGAAGCCTGGGACCTTCCAGGGGCACTCCACACGGAACTGGAGAGCACCACTTCCCCGACCCCAGGGCCCACCACCCCTCCCGGAGCACGTGTGCTCTCGTAATGAGATGGGAACAGCGCTGCACGGACCCTGACCCTTGGGCGACCTGGGGACTGCCCAGCCTGTCCTAAAAGGGGGATTCGTCCTCAGTTGTCTCCAGAGGAGCGGGGTGAAGCTCAGGGCTGACGCTTATCCATCCTCAGCAGGAGGAAAAGAAAAAGATATTACAGCATCTGGAGCAGGAACAAACCAACTCTGAAAACAAGAACCACGTGGAGATCTTCAGAGAGATGCAGAAAAGGCCCCCTGTCCTCCAGCACACCACCTACAGAGTCCTGGCTGGGGCCCCTCCCCAGGAAAAGAGTGAGCGCATGGGGGTGGGGAGGCTAGACTGCGGGGAGTGACAGGCAATCCGTTAAGAAGCTGGGGTATGGGAGGGAAGGGGAGCGAGCTGGCATCTCGGGGAAAGCAGGGCTCTGGGGACAGCCGTGCTTAGGCATCGGATGCAGGCTCCAGTCCCACCTGCCGCCCCGAGTGCCTCACACAGTGGAGAGTACACAGCGGCCGCTAGGGATCTCCCCCCAGCACAGCCTATTCGTGACTGGCCCCCCAGGGAGGGAGCTGAGCTTGGCAGATGCCAACTCACTGGGCCCTAGACTTCGGCCCTCCGGCTCCTCGGTCCCTGCGGACCCTCCCACCCAAGTCTGAGGTCAAGGCCAGGTTAATCTGGCACATCAGCAACTTTACGTTTGGTACGTGGCAGCCTCCCGATCAGAAGGAGCCTCGTCCTTCATAAAGATGCCCCCAACAGCCCTGCAAGTGCTGATTAAGCAAAACTGCATCACATTCTCTGACCACACTCTCCAAGGGAAAGGAAATGGGAATCTGTCTCAGGTGTTAGCACAAAGGGGAGAGTGGAGAAGAGTGTTGTCACCACCTTGACATGCTAACGGCACCCTCTGTCCCCCTCACCCCTAGAACTGCTGACAGTGGGGATCTCCTCAGTGCAGCGTCCTCACGGGAGTGCCCTCTTGGACACCCTGCGGTCCCTGTTCCACGTCTCCTCGGGGCCGGAGCTGCGCTGCATCGTGGTGCTGGTCCACCTGTCAGGCCCTGACCCTGAGTGGCTCAGACAAATGGCCGCTGATATTTCCAGCCTCTTCCAATCTCACATAGAGGCCCGGGAGCTGCTCGTGATCCACGGCCGTCTTGGTGGCTCCCCTGTCCCGGGAGACCCAGGTGACGCTGGCAACTCCTCACCCTGTGCCACTGTGTATTCCAGGCAGAAGGTCGATTACACCCTCCTCATGAACTTTGCTCTCAGCCTCTCTGAATACTTTCTGATGATCGAAGACCGTGTTCAGTGCACCCCCAAGTTTGTCTCTGCCATCTACTGGGCACTGTCAGCCTGGAGAGAACGGCCCTGGGTGACCCTGGAGTTCTCTGGCCTGAGCTTCTCCGGGAAAGTCTTCCACACCAGCGACCTTGCCCGCCTGACCGAGTTCCTCCTCCTCTTCGCCAAAGATGTGCCCACTCACCTGCTTCTCTCTGAATTCCGCCTTCTCTTGGCCCAGCACGTTCCGATCCGCTTCAGTTCCTCAGTCTTCCACCCCGTGCGCAGTTACTCCATGCCTGCGGACACCTGCTTTCCTGTGGAGAAGGAACCGGCCTTCGGTGAGCCGGACAACCCGGTAGCCAGCGTCCTCACTGACATGAGGACAGTATCGAGTTCGCTTCCAGAGTACGCTTACGTGCTGAACAAGGAGAGCTACTACACCCTCCACCCCCTAAGAGGCAACCACCTGACCGTGGTTTTGGAAAGGCCACAGAAAGTCATCCGGGTGGAGGTGCTGACAGGCTCTGACAAACAAGGGCTGTACCGGCTGCAGCAGGGCCAAGTGGAGCTGGGCTACAGCCCCCTGCCGCACTCTGAAGGCTGTGCTCACTACGCCCTGCTCGGGCCGCTGGTGGAGGGACACTTGGACCAGAGGGTCTTCTATGCAGCAGACTCTGCGGAGCAGCTGAGCTGCATACGGCTGCTGGTGCTGGCCGCTCAGGATTCCTGGCTGCTCATCAGGCAGATCAGGGTCTGGACACAGCCTGAGGAGGAGGAGGAGAGCTGGAGGCACAAGGGGAGTTCTGCGCAGACTGGTCCTGGGCAGGCGGTCTTCACAACCGGCCAGAAATAAAGCTAGAAACTGGCCAAGGCCTGTGCCCTCTGAGTGGGGTGACCATGTAAGTTACTGTCCAGACTGGGGTACTTCAGAGACTGGAAGGAAGCACTGTTAAAAATGACACTATAACCACAGATGTAAGCCAGACTTCCCAGGCAAGCAGAAGTGTATGCTCCTCCTGATTCCGATTTTTGCAGGCCACTTACGGTAGATAACAGTCTGAGGAGGGGGAGAGACAAGACAATATCCCTTTGGCTTCCAAGGGCCAGAGAGAGGGGAGGAGTCTCGGTGAGCGGCCTTGGTTCCAATCTGCACACAAGTGTCACGCCCTCAGATCTTTCCATGAGAAGGCTATCGTCCCACCTAGAACGGCGACGGTCTCGACAGTACCATGGCCACAAAGGCGGCCCTGACAGTGGCTCCCGTCCACACATCTCTGCTGTTCAGGGTGCGGTAACAGGATTCCACAGGCTGGTGGCTTCTAAACAGCAGAAACTTATTTCTCACGGTTTCGGAGGCTAGGGTGCCAGCTGATTGGGTGACGGTCGAGGTCCACTCCCTGGCCCACGGACGGCTGTCTTTTTGCTGTGTCCTCACCTGGCACAAGTGGGTGAAAGACCGCTTACAGTATTTGATAAGGGCACTGATGCTATTCACAAGGGCTCTACCCTCAAGGCCTAGTCACTTCCCAAAGGCTGCACCTCCTAACACCATCACCCTGGGGGTGAGGGTTTCACCATGAACGTGCGGGGAGGGCACACGCAGGCCACAGAGAGGCCCAAACCTGCAACGTGCCGAGGCGGAGACCCTGCCGGAGCAGTGTGCTCAGCCGTGCTCATCACGCGTATACTGCCTATACGAGGACAAAGCTGAGCAGCTGCGACCCAGCCTGTGCAGCTCACAAAGTCTAAACCGTTTACTGTCGCTTCCGCTGGCCCCAAGCCCCGTCAGGCTCCGCTGTTGCCAGGCCACACGCACTTCCGGCTCCCGCCCCTTCCGGCCCCCAGCTGCTTTAGGCCCTCCCCTCCAGCCTCCCCGCCTCTTCCGGCACCGTACGTTCCAGACCCCGCAGTTTCTAAGCCACGCACACAGCCATTTCCGGCGCCGCCCCTTACTGCCTCGTCCCCTTCGCCCCAAGCCTTTTCTGGACTTGCTGTGGCCAGGCCCCACACTTCCGGCTCCCTGCTCCTATTCTCTCCTCCTTCTCCGCCTACCTGCTCCTTCCGGGCCCACGTTTTTTCGACCCTCCTCCTTACGAGGCCAGCCTTCCTGGGGCCCGCCCCCTTTGGAGAGGCCTCGCCTTTTTGGCTTTACGCCACTTCCGTCTTTGCTCGTGCCAGCTCACACCTATTCCAGCGAGCACTGATCGGGCCCCACCCTTCCATGACCTGCCTCTGCCCCTCCCCGGCTCCTTCCAGGGCCCGCCTCCCGCCCGCCCCGCGGCGAATTGTGGGAGCAGTCCGGCCCGCGGGCGCGGCTGCGGCGGAGGACAGGGAGCTCGGTCATGGGTTTCCAGCCGGTGAGACCCACGCTCCATGCCCTACCCCGGGGGACGCAGCTCCGTCCGGCTCTGGCCGCTCAGCTGTGCACCAGGGGGGTCTCACCGCCGTGCCCGCTCTGGGTGCTGGGGTCCCGGGACCCTGCCCAGGGGACCCCTCCAGCCTCAGCCTGCCCCCGCGCTGGAGCTCGGGGTCGCCCACCTCGGGGCGAGTGGGCACTTCCCCCGCGGGTCGGTAACACTGCCTCCTCTCCCCACAGAGCCCGGGCCTGCTGGCCTCTGTGGGGGCGGGGCTGCTGACTCTCCTCGGCCTGGCTCTGGGGTCCTACTTGGTTCGGAGGTCCCGCCGGCCACGGGTCACTCTCCTGGACCCCGATGAGAAGTGCCTGCTGCGATTGATAGACAAGACGGTGAGTTGTGGAGGAAGGGATAGGGCGGCGGAAGACTCCCTTCCTGCTGGGAAGCGACAGCCTCTTCTGGGGTTGGGGCGTTCTGGTAAAACACTCGTCCGTCCTGCAGACTGTGAGCCACAACACCAAGAGGTTCCGCTTTGCGCTGCCCACTGCCCAGCACATTCTGGGGCTGCCTGTGGGTAAGGAAAATGTGGGCTCCTTTCCCTCGTATCCTAAGGGAGAGATTCTCCTCCCAGAGTCTCCCAAAACAGAAACACGCTGCTTTAGTCTGTTCCCTTCCCCTTCCCCACCTGGCTGGATTCTCCAGGCTGTGAGATGCCACTGGGCCATTGTAGGGTGTGGCTTGTGTGCCTCCCCCCACCCGCCGCCCCGGACGTCTGTAACACTTCTGCCTCCCCCTGCAGGATTTGCTTGCACCCCCCAACCCCGCCCCTACTCACCTGCTGTTGCTGCTAAGGTCCTGCAGAAACTGATAAAAACATCTCCAATGGGACACTTATGAGGGGTCCAGCGGGAGCTCAAAGGGGTGACTCCTCCCTGCTTGGTAGCTCAGTGGGCTGGCACAGGGAAGCAAGACGTTCTTGTCCTCTCTAACCTCCCTGCGCTTCCACAAGGTGGGCGGAATGCAGCCTGTCCACAAGCCACACTCACGTAGCTCTCTGCATGGCTCCCAGGCAGACACGTCTACCTCTCTGCCCGCATCGATGGCAGCCTGGTCATCAGGCCATACACTCCTGTCACCAGCGATGAAGACCAAGGCTACGTGGATCTTGTCATCAAGGTAGGGGTAGGAAGGACGCCCAGGAGCTCCCTATCCTACCTTTTCCGGGAAGCGTGCCGGTTTTGCTGGATAGAAGGAGGTGCATGTTCTCTGGATGTGCCGAGTGCACCTGGGTATTCTTCGGAGGATCAGTCAGCGAGGGCTCAGAACTCAGTGGCAGTCCAAATAAGGTATTTTCTGTTCTGTCTTACCAGGTGTACCTGAAGGGTGTGCACCCCAAATTTCCTGAGGGAGGGAAGATGTCTCAGTACCTGAACAGCCTGAAGATCGGGGATGTGGTGGAATTCCGAGGGCCGAGTGGGCTGCTCACTTACACGGGGAAAGGTAACGGCCACAACCAGTTCCCCAGGCCCACCATCCCACACGCCGTGTGCATGGGCCAGAGCCGCCCTTCCTGCACACAGAGCCACGAGGGTCTGGAGGGGCCATCAGCCCTGTTTGTCACTGGGACCAGTTCCCCATCTACTTGAATTCACCAGCCATGACAGCTGTGGAAGGTCAGGAAGCAGCCCTGCCTCACGGCTTGCCCCTCAGGCTGAGCTGTGTGCAGAGCCAGAGAGCTTTTAGCCCTTCCCAGGGGAGAGTGGCTGGGTGCATCAGCCAGCTCCTGGAGCTGCTCTGTGCGCTTGGGAAAGCAGAGTCACACTGGCACCAGGCCCACCACCCTCACCGGGGGTGACCGTCTGCCAGAGGCGGCTGCTGACTCACTCTGGCCCTAAATGGACTGGCAGTTAATACGGGACACATGGCCCAGGCTCCATTGTCCCACACGTGTGCTATCAGACCTGGCTCAACTCAGACATCCCCCCAGGCCCCAGGGTCAGGTTCCATTACAGCTGTTAAACTGGCCTGGCACGTGTCTTCAGTTCTGCGTTTGTTTTCTTCGTCTCCTCTATTGATGCCACTCTCCCATCCCCTCTGTACTTGACTTCTCAGGGAATTTTAGCATTCAGCCCAACAAAAAGTCTCCACCAGAGCCCCGAGTGGCGAAGAGACTGGGCATGATCGCCGGCGGGACAGGTGTGTGTTGCTTGGGAGCCAGCCGTTCTCTCCCACCGTTGCTGGTGTTGCCATGAAAACTTCCCAGTGATCCTCGGAAGGTCTGGGAATCATGGCCAAGCTGTTTATTGGGATTCCTAGCATTGCCCTGGGGCTCCCCAGTATCTGAAAACAAAGTTGTGATCAGGTAGAAACCAGAAAAAAAATCCTGACTGATAGAATGAGAAATAAATCATGTGCGTTCTCCGAAGACCCACATGGAACGGGTCTGGTCATCTTTAGGTGAAAATAGGAAAAGACCTAGAAATAGGATAGTCAAGGAGAAAGAAAATGCACTTTGGACATTTCTATCTATTAGGCACTATGCTAGTCTCTTCATGTCTGTATCTGTGAAGTAGGTGCTTGCCTTCTCCTTTTACAGAAAGTGTAGGTTCAGAGGGGTTAGGTGGTCTCCACAGGGTTCCCATCCCACTCTACCTGAGTCCTGCACACCTGAAGCACTTGCACTTAACCCGCAAGTCCAGTGTTCCAGGGCCCTCACACCGAATCAGCACCCGTGACACCTGAGTCCTAGCCAACAAGGGACGTTCAGAGGAAGAGTCTTAGAAGAATTTCAACAGTGTGAACTCGTGTGAATATTGAGCATGACTACAATTCTCCTACCAGATAGGAATTTCATGAGTTTGGGGTAAGAGGCGTACCTGCCCAGAAACGTGGGTGTTGGAGAACACACAGGAGATTGGAGGGTTTAGACACTGGATGAAAGTGGGGTGCAGGGCTGAATGGGCAGCATCCAGATGGAAGCCCTGGTCAGCTGAGGGGCTGGGACAGGTGGGTTGCAGCTACCACGTCTCACTGTGGGGTGTCTCCATGCAGGAATCACCCCGATGTTCCAGCTGATCCGGGCCATCTTGAAAGACCCTGAAGACCCAACCCAGTGCTGTTTGCTTTTTGCCAACCAGGTTGGTTTTTCTTAATCCTGGGACTTTATAGTTGCATGGGTAGGCTCAGCAGTGTGGCACCGATGGACAGGTGGGCCGGTGCCTGTGCTGGCCTCTGCCTAAGGTGCCCCCTGTAGGTAGAGGACCCTCTGCTACAAGAAGCAGACTGAGCCCTGAGTCATTTTCCTTCGCTGGCCCACAAGGAAAGAAGAAGAGAAAACATTTTGGGAATTTAGTTCTGGGCATAAAAACTTGCATTTTGGCTTTCGTTTGTTAAATATTCCATTTTTGTTTCTTCATGCTGTGTAAATAGAGCCTGTTCTCCTCTCCTTTCTCTTATGCTGATGACCTAGAAGTGGTGCTCACTGTGTAGAACTTGAGCATTTTCTCTTCTGACTGGACAGCACTGTGTGGGCCTGAGAAGGTTCCTAAAGACTCTACTTCCCCTTTTCACTGCAGACTGAAAAGGACATAATCTTACGAGAGGACTTGGAGGAGCTGCAGGCTCGACATCCCAGTCGCTTTAAGCTCTGGTTCACCCTGGATCATCCCCCAGAAGGTACCCTCCCAGTTCTGGACATCACAGAATCAGGGCCTTGTCCCCGGTGGGTTCTTGTTTCTGTGGTGCCAACCCTCTGCTACGCGGCCGAACTCCCAAGTCCGGCTGCAGGGGCGCGGTGGCCTCCCAGCCCTCCCGTTCAGGCTCCTGTTCACTGGGCGGGCGGCAGGAGCACCTGTACTGCTGAGGCGGGCTGAGTATAGCCATCCTGCTCGACCCCTCAAGAGCCTTTCTGGCTGCGCAGGCCTTGCCAGCATGGGTCTGGAGTGTCAGTGTTGTCCCCTGTGCTTTAGGTTGGACCTACAGCAAGGGCTTTGTGACAGCGGACATGATCCAGGAGCACCTGCCCGCTCCGGGGGACGATGTGCTGCTGCTGCTTTGTGGGCCTCCCCCAATGGTGCAGCTGGCCTGCCACCCCAACCTGGACAAACTGGGCTACTCGCAAAAGATGCGGTTCACCTACTGAGCGTCCCCTGGCTTCCCGTTCCCTGCAGTTGTCCTGGCCAGTACTCGAATGCTGCAAGCCCCAGGTTTCTTTCCCGACAGGACCGGCCTTTTGTCTTTCTCTGGAGCAGGTGTCTGAACGGCACCTTACAGGGACAGCACCCTTGTCGCTCTGGAAGAGGTCAAGGCTGCGCATTCCCTGGGAGGCCCCCCGGTCTCTGTGATATGAGATCCAGGTCAGGCCACGGGTCAGTCTCTTCTGTGGGTCAGAAAGGAGGAGGCACGTGTGCTGGTTCCAACACCGCTGTTTCCTGGGTGGCATCGCCCTCTTCTTTGTGTCCAGG